ATTGGCATAAATACGACGACACAGAGTCCCTTTGGAGGAACATAATGGGCAAAATCTAAAGGTCCAATCTTCGTAATTGATTAATTTAGATATAGATATAGATATATATTAGATATACATAGGCTTAGGCTCAGATCAAAGAACTGGCACCTCTAGACACATTTGTATTGGGACACTTGGCATATTCCTGTAACAAACCCTGGTCACTGAGTTTTTGCAGCCAGGTTTCTGTGTTTGGTTGGGTTTGGTTTGATACATCCGCTGTCCTGGATAGCTTTTTCTCCTTAGGTATTTCTCTCATTTTCATATCATGCCAGACTTTATTACCTGGCAATAAGTTGCAGGACATGTGAATTGAGTTGCTTCTAAACAAGTATCAATCATTTGTGATGGGCGTAATAGAAATGACAACGGCTGCAATCAGGGTTTTCCTTATTACGAAGTTGTAACGGGCAGCATTTGCAACTCCTGAAATTAAATGAACAGTGGCCCCATCAAATCGTGTGCGAAGCCAGAGAGATCAAGTAAACACAAACAGGCTTGACCTTGTTAGAAATGTGCGATTTTCAGCCTTCGTGCGCCGGAGCCACTGATTTGGAACTGGTTGTACATTCTTGAGAAATGGGGACTTTTTTCCGTCTCAGTAAAAATACCCATCATTTGGCAAACCACGGTGTCATTTTCCTTGAAGAGAATGTAGTGATTGATTATCCAGAGAGCTGCCGAGACAGGGCAAACCAACCAAAGAGCTGGAAAATGGTATATAATCATAAAGCATCACAGGGCCCCGAGCGGAGCACAGTCACTAGAATTAAGCCGGGGCATTCTAATCATCCCATGCCTGGAAGCCCTGTTTATCTCCACCACCTTGACCTCTAGGGGCCATGCACAGGAGCTTGCAGCTACAATTATGCTCAGGGTTTTCTGATGGCACAGAAGAGGGACAGCAGACATCCTTTGAGGGGTCTTGTGAAGAGGGGCTTACAGGCATCCCTACCCCTCTGCACCATTCTTACCCTAAAGCCCTGCACCAAATACAGATCAAACTCAAGCCTCCCTGGAGAGAGTCTAGACACCAAGATATCCATGGTTAACCTCCCTCACATACGGGACATGCAGATGGGCGAGGGTCGGGGGTTTCTATTAACATTACTCGGAAACTCTGGAGCAAAACAAGCGGGGTGGGGAAAGATAGGAGGTGGGCAGAAGGAAAAAAAGAATGTGGATCTCACGTGTGACCACCTCTCACACCTGAGATGACTTGTGGACACACACAGTCCTCACCCTTGCAAAACGCCCCAGCTCAAATCGAATCCCCAAGTGATGGGAGTTCAGAGGCCATGAGCACCATCAAAGTATCCTGAAGTCATCAGAGGACGAAACTGGGTCATGAGAAAGAAAGGCGCTACCACAACCTGTCCCTGCGACGGCTCCCAAAACGCACCACCATCAAGTCAGTTCCAACTCGTGAGGCCCTTGTAGGGCAGAGTACAGCTGCCGTGGTATTTCTGAGACTGATGTAATTCATAGGGAAGCCAGCTGTCACATCATTCTCCCACAGAGTGGTTGGGGGGTAGCTTCAAACTGCCAACCTTTCACTTAGCAGCCGAGCACTTGCAGGGGCGTGGGGGGCTCCCCAACATTCAAATGGGTCCTCAAGAGTGGCTTTGAAGTTGTGGAAAATACTAGAGACAGACAGAGGGACACAGGGCTCCTCATCCCATGTCAGGACTGAAAGAGTGAATGTAATTTCCAATGGGTATCTATAATGGGGCTTACAGATCTTTCAGCAGGCATGCATGTCATACAGCTAACATATTACATAGTTAATAGGTGATATCATAAGTGGGGACCATAATAAACCAGCAATGAGGTGAGTCACCATCTTGACCTAGTGTTAGTTAGCAAATGCCCCTGAGCCCTCCCCAGGGGGTTGCTATATTATAAGGTGGGTTGGCTATAGGACTTGATTGCTCTTCTCAACAGATAACCTCCAGACACACAGAATAGCCAGGCACAAGTAGGAGACATCTTTTATGGTAGCTCTCTTATGACAGTACCGTTCTGGGGGGAGGGGGATGTTATTAGAGGGACTGTGTTCAGTCATGAGAATGTATATTAAAACTTACTTATACCTCATAACTGTGAGGGTCTTCCCCCACTGGAGTGGGCTTTCCAGACCCATCATTAAGAACGTGGAGGATTTAGCTGCATTACTTTCTCACCCCATCCCTCAATTGACCACAAGCACTGAACCCCTGCACCACCAGACTCTTCCCAGAGATGGTAGCACATTGGGGCTAGAATTGAGCACCCAGTCATCCATCACGCTCCCCTTCTCTTGAGCTGTCGTAGATTTCAAAATGGACATCGTCAGGATGCCAGGCTCCCTCATTAACTGCTCTCCTCGTGTTGGGCAGGAGCCTGGGTTCGGCATCAGAGCGAGGAGTTTAGATCCCTTTTAGGAGCTTGGGGACATGTAGCCGAACAGAATCGATTCCTGTCACTCACACACAAATACCGGATTATGGATCAGGGTGAAGCCGCAGTGCTTTAATCTTAAAATCAATACACGAAAGGAAGTTGAACTTGCGGGGCTTCTGCGGAGGCTGTAATTTGGGTCCCTCCAAGGGTTGCCTTACAGAAACCTCGCCGTGCCTTCCTTTCCTGATTATTTTCCGGGAGAGGGCGGGGAGGATGAGAAAGCGCCACCGTGGAAATCATCTGACGCTGCGTGCAAGGGTAGCTCAGAGCTCGAGCTGGTCTCCCGTTGAGTCCAGAACAGCTGTCTCTGCGTATCCGCTCTTTCTTATTTCTAGAGGGAAAAGGACCCCCCCCCCCGCAACCTAAGCTCTGTACCCCACTGTCTGTGTTTACGTGTAGTGAAATGCCTCTGATTCCAGATGAGTCACCCTCTGACTGTAAGGCACTTTTTACCGCGTTTATATCCATGACTAAGGACCAATGGCCTATATGATTTCCCAAGATGACATATTCAACAAATCCGTTATTGACCAAAGGATTCCAGGCTGATGAGTGTGGATGAATCTTTGCGCCCCTGTAATTCTCCGTTTGAAGGCGGCATGAGCTGAGGGCTTAAACAGCCCAGTCCCTCCTGAATCAGAGGGAGAGCCATTACTGAAGGTGCTGCTTCCCAGACAAAACCCCGACACTGCACAAGATGCTGCTACCACTGCTCTGGAAGGTGGCCTGTTCTTCCCTTGGAGAGTTAACTCCTTTCTATTCTTGTGATGGACATACCCCCCACAGAGCATTTGCCACGTCAAGAATCCCTACACGTCCAAATGGCTGACGCGGATTAGTTTTCCAGTTGCACAACCATTCTCACTTACTTTCCTACGCCATCCCACGGTGGTGAACAGAAACCCTGTCTACTAAGCAAAAGTGACCCCTTTCACCCTTCCCTCCCCACACCTGATACTCTGGTTTCTTTGGACACAAGGGAGTGTCCAAAACCTGGTGGAAAATTCCCATCCTCTGTGCATTCCGTTTTTTTCCACACGCTTTTTGAAAGCCCCCTTGGTGATGCGTATTTTGTGTCAGTGAAGTCATACGGTCCTTCTCCTGTTGTGACGGGCTTGCGTGTTTGGTCCAGCGTACTGCTTTGAGAGCTCACCCAAGGAGCAACATGCGTCAGGCTTTCACTGCTCCTGAGGATGCTGTTGTGTAAGTGCCATCCAGTCGGTTCTGATTCATAGCGAGCCTGTGGACAACAGACGGACACACTGCCCGGCCCAGCACCCTCCTCGCCATTGTTCTGTTAGAGCCCCTTGTTGGAGCCAAGGCGTCAATCCATCTTGTTGAGGGCTTTCCTCTTTGGGGCTGCCCCCCACTCTGCTTTACCAAGCATGGCCCTCAGGGCCTGGTCTCTCCTGATAGCATGTCCAAAGTATCCGAGACAAAGTCTCACTACCTAGGCGTCTACGGAGCATTCTGGCTGTACTTCTTCCAAGACAGATTTGTTGGCTGTACAGTAGTATTCCATTGTGTGACTGAATCGTCTTTTCTATCCATCATCTATTAACGGACATTTCAATTGTTTCCACAAATTGGGAGTTGGCTGATGTGAAAAGCACTACAGTGAATGTAGGCGGTTGTCCGATTTTATTTGTCTCCTTTGACTGTGATAAGAATAACAGGAGGTCCTCTGACCGAGTGAGAAAATGCCTGGCCTGTCCTCACGAGCCCCAAGCTCTAGTTCTGTCTGAGGCAGAATGGAGCAGTTAGAGGGGCCACGTAGCAGCCCGTCATCTCTCTGGGCTGGTTTCCCCAGCTTTAAACTGGGGCTGGTCACCAGGCCCACTTGGTCGCAGGGCTGTTGAGCGGATTAAATGAGATGAAGCTTTAAAAAATAATAATAATAAATAAATGAGATGAAGCTTTTAGAGTGCTTAGCATGCTACCTGGTGCTTGTAAGCAGGCAATCGATGTTTATTATGATGATTAATAATGTGAGTCAAGTGGTGTAACATATGTTGTGTATGTGAAAACATTCTACAGATCGTAAGGCACCATCCAAATGTTAGTCTGTCTTACTCTTAATAGATGGATGGGTTTGAAGCTTTGAAAACAAATCGCAGAAACCCTTTGCTTTGTGGTGACTCTCACAGGCCTCTTGTCTCAAGGTGGGGCCCTGGAAGTAACAAATTTGGGTTCAGATTTCTGTCTTAATCGCCCCCCCCCCCCCCGCCCCCAAGAGCCTCATGGGTGCCA